GTCACCTGTATACTTAAAGGTTATCACCACCGAGCGTAACAAAAAGCGTCCGTTACAGAGTAGTTTTCATTTGAATTGTTAAATCTTTACGTTCACTAACAGTCAAATTTTAGATCATTACCTTATAATAACAAACCGCATGACCACAGTCATTTAAGTGTTGGTCGCCTAAAGCTTTCATTTAACCCGCAGTTCATAGAAGTTCTGGCACTGATACACAAACTCATGCAGAGTCCCATGCTAAAAAAACCTGTGCATAGTAAACCATTTAAATTATACATCACCTCTGGAAAGTAAAGAACTGATTAGTAACTTGTAATGTCCAAGGAGAACCTTAACTTTGATCAGTAACTTCGTTTCGTCATGTTACATCAAAAATAATAAACTAAATCCGCTTTGTACAGTGTAAGGAATCCCTATCATGAATTACCTCCTCAAATTTAGTTGTTTTTCTCTTCTTTGCCATTCTTGAAAACCCGGCGGTGGTCACAGACAACGCCCATCAGTACACGAATTATTTCATGAATATGCATATTCCTTTTTAGAGGCGGACAGCCGAGAGTTTAGTAGTAATCCTTGTACCCTATAACTCTTCAACATTTCGTCGAGAATAGCTAACTAAGAAAAGCTTTCATCTGAGTGGACACACTAATTTTTAGCATTAGTATTCTTCCACCTACTCAAAAGTTAGAAAAATAAAAAAAATTTATGAGCACAGCAGATTAGAACTACCTTTGCTCTAAGTCCTGCACTATTTTTGTAAGAGTCATTGCTCGCAAATTTAATTTTCACGGGAATATTGTATGCCGGTTTTACAGAAGATAATAAATAACGTCGCGTCAAAACACCTTTCATTTTAATGTTTAGAAAAATTCACTATGTTTTAATAGAGACTGATTCATTTAAAGCTTAAAAGCTTCTTGTTGCAACGTTTTTCTATAGCTGATTGCTCCATCTCCCTTCAAGCTGTTATCACCATTAAGAACAGAACCTAGGGATTTAAGGTGCTGCTCAGTGGCTTGAATCATTTTCATGACACCTTAGGATCAGTCAAACACAAACCCTAACAAAAGTCTAACAACCATCTTTCATAACATAGCTAGAATAGACGCCTAATCAAATACAATAGCACGAGCGTGCTTCATATTCCCATTGAGCACGCTAATGACGTCAATAATTTATACCTCGAGTTCTTGTGAGCTTAGCAATCCTCCCAAGACGTCTCCCAAGTGCATCTATGACTCGACAATACACGATGAACCGTTTACCATGTGTTTTATAAGGTAAATTTAAGAGAAGACATTTGAATTTGTTAACCGATAGTAGGGAAAAGAGGTGAGTGTTGTTGTTGTTGTTGTTGTTGTTTTTGTGGTCATCTGCACGAGCTGTGCGGGCTATGGCATGTGCAAATCATTCTTTGCAAAGTTAGTTCTTTCAAAAAGAATTTTTCCGAGAATTAATAGTTTTCCGGAACCTCAATATGGATTTGACAATCTTTTTGATCGTCATCTTAAGCGACTTGAGTAAACTTTCTCTTAGTTTCAAGACAAAAACATAACTGAGGTAAAAAAAAATATCTAGTCACGTAGACGTTGACGCGTGCTCCTTTGAGCGCCCTCCACAATAATAGAAATCTAAGTTAACTGCTGCTTCGATCGCGTTGATAATGTTACAAAACAATTAGTTCATGCTTCAGCTCTGCGTATGTCGAGATATTGAGCACTTGGGAAGTTTGGAGAGCGCTCAAAAGGCTAGAGTCGAGCAGCTCTGAAGCCTCTTTCGTGCTCTCCAAACTTCCCGCGTGTTCAATATCTCGACATACCACAGCAAAGTTCTGCTGAATAGCTTTCATTTGAATGTTCACTCTTTAGGATTTCATTCACAGACTCCAGCAAAAATGAGAACCACTTTTACAGCATGTTGGACAATAACATAGGAAAATACTTCTCCTTAATTACAGTATTTCATCTACAGGGTTCAAATGGCTCTGTTGAAGCACCTTGTACAGTATAAGAAAAAGAACCAGAAAAAAGCGAACTGCTAAGTAGGTAGTTATTACGGGATTTCACCCGTAACTTACCTTCAAACAGAATTATCTACACAATAGCTTTCATTTAGTTATGCTGTGATCAAGTTCTACTGAGTCTAATGTTACCAAACTACTTGGAGATGTGCTGCAGCACGTTTACGTTCTACGTGTTATCCAATTATGAAAGAGAAAGAAAGACGAAAAGAAAACTCAAGTCGTCAATCCCTTAATTCAGACTTAGTGCCGAGTTGTTTTCATAGAAAGCTGATCTGCTCATGCAGAGGCCGATGCCGTGTGCGCCTTCGACTTTTCGCCTAGTTTAACATGAGGGTTTTAAATAACTTCAGTCTGAAGAAGAAAGTACTGTTGTTTTTTTTTTCCAAATCGCTCGACCTCAGTTCAAGTTACGCGGTAGACTACTGTCAAATGACTGCAACATCTAGAAGGGGAACAAAACAGGTTTCTCAATTATTAGTACGTACACTTAATTGGGGGCTGACGGTGTATTTTTCTTATTTCAAACTTTATGTCAGACTTTTGTGTCAGTAAAATGAGCGGGAATTTATAGCTGGGAGGCACCTTTTGTCTCACAATGCTTTCCCTATGAAGGGTGGAGAATAATACAGTCTAACCCCGTGAATATGGATACTAAGGGGCCATAGAAAGTGTCTATATCAACAGGGTTTCCGTATTAAGTATGTTGAATTTAGAGAAAATGTAAGGCCTTTCTTTCCTCAGGGACAAAGGAAACGTTCGGTAATAACGTGTCTGTATTAAGCGGGGGTCTGTAAAGCGAGGTTTGTAGTAAGCAAAGATAAAATAGTGACCAAGAGAACATCTTGGAGGCGAAATGCGATTTCCACTTCTTTATTATCATGTTTTCAGGGCGTCCAATAAATGTATATATCTCTATTTTTGCTCTTCAAATCAATTTTTACCTTTCTTAGATCTGTGACTTCAAAAATTCTGAAACAGAATATCACGTGACTATTGACTACTTTATAAAATTCTCAGATGAAAGCTTATAAGACTATCGAAGATAAAAATATAGAATATTCCCAAGAAACTCATTTCACCGCACGGAAATCATGTCTTTTATAAACTGGTCGAGAAGAAACAAAAATATGTTGATGAGTTACATCTTAGAAGCTTTTGTTGTGTCTAAAAACAACAAAAACAACAAAAACAACATACAACATCCTTCCTCCCCGAGCTGATAAGCGGAAAACGGAAATATATTATATATTTATTGGTTTGAAGCCAGCATTGATAAGGAGGAACGATCAGTTTCATCTCTTCAATTAGTAATGGTAACTCGACTGAGTGGAGTCCAATTCGGTCTGTAATCATGCGAGTGATTAACAAAATCGGACGACCGCGTAGCGGGAGTCCGATTGTTTATCACGAGTATGATTACAGACCGAATTGGACGACACGAAATTCTGTTACCAGTTAATCATAGCTCCAAAATTTGCGATATATAAGGCTCTTTTTTAAATCAAAACACAAGAATATCCAAGATTTTATTTTGGTAGTAGTCGCGCGCGTAATGGCGCGTACTGTCCTATTAAACTGTGCTATTAAGGCTGAAATCAGGGCAGTTGATAGCCAATCAGATTTGAGAATTTTGTTATAGATATGATTAATGAATTAATTCTAATTCTAATGAATGGACCCTGCACTGTCTGCACGAACGGCGTCGATCGATCTACTTTTAACTCAGCTTAGTGGGTGATTTGAAATGATTCAATACTCACGGGAGGAAGGAAATGATAATTAATCTTGTCGGGACGACAAAGATGGACTCCTGCAATAATTGACCCAAGTAGCACGTTTGATTGTAGTTAAAAATAATTTTTTCCCAAAGCATTCGGTTCACATCCGATCTCCACATGTATGTTGAAACCTCCACTGGAAAGACTCCCCCAACATCTATTTGATACTTACTTTAGATCACGTTTGTTTTTGTCTCTGTCTTTTTCGGCCACGCCTTAAGGAAAATGTTAAAATGTGCTTATTAAATCGTGGCAAATCTATTCAAAGAATCTTTTAAGTGCTTTTAAAGTGCGTTTTTTCGGTTTCCAATACTGAAGTCACGATTGCTGTTCAGTCAGGTTAGCACAACTGGTTTTGCGAAACTGTCATGCCACTCCATTTCTGTACCTGAGGTGGCGAGTGGCAATGAGGTCTTTTCACAAGTTTTTGACCAGTTTGGAGAGTTTCGCTGCATGGTTTATTTAAACATTGCTCTAGGTCTCAAAGTGTTGAAGGTGCCTAGTGGTCTGGGATCCCTGATTTTCTTGGAGAATCAGGCTGCTGTTTTGACAACATCAGCTTCGCCGTAATTGTATCGTGTTTAAATAAATGTTGTTGTAGTTGTTGTTGTAATGGCACGAGTCCAATAAACTTTGTACTTGATAGAGTACGTTTCTGTGGGATAGCTTTGTTGAGTGCAACGTTGATTTTACCAAATAGTTGAAAACGAATCATATTTTTATAATCGCGGTACTTCTGGTCACTTCTCGCTAGTCTTCGTTGCCCAGCGGTTTCGCGCCCGTAGAAAACGCCTCATTTGAATAGTGAACGTTCGCCTCGCACTGGAGAGTCTAAGTACGTATACGACAAACGGCAAACGTCAGATTCAAGTTGAGAATTTCTCAAAATAGAAAATGAGCGGATAAAAACAGCTCAAAACAATTCTTATGGATAAAAAATTGCGTGAAACTACGAATTTATGTGTAGAAATAATGAACAGTAAACGACAAGTAAAAGGGGAACTTGGTCACGTGGTACAAGTCCTCTCTTGCGCAAACTTGATGCTTAACCTCTTTGTTAAGTTTCGCCTCCCACAAACGTAATTTTCCCATTTTTTAAAAGCCAGCATGAATTTGTCAATATTCTGACATTGTTTATCAATTTATAGAGGAGCCTATCTATACAACGTTAAGGAATCATTTATTTCTCTTTTCATATGGTTTTAGGTAATCTGCGGCCACAGAACAACATTACAACGAAGTGCGCATGTGAGCCCACAGCAGGTATCAATCTAAAGTTACTTTAGTAATACTTACCACTTTGACTTATGCTATCACAAGGCTATCCAAAAGTAATAGTAAGCTTTAGACATGAAAAAATATTTAAGGCTTCCCCTGTTAGGAAAAACAACATTTTTGCATGCGCGGGAAACTAAAAGTCAGTAAATTATTTTCAAGTTGAATGAAATTTTTGAAAGACATGACATATCAGTCATCCCCATAAAAAATGTTGTTGTTTGATAGTAGACTCGATCACCAGCCGATTAATCGGTGCAATCACGTTCCTTCGCTGTAGAAAGAGGATGCAACCCAGTCCCTCAAAAACGGCTGGAAGTCGAGCCTATTAGTCTTCTGTGACAGTAGGGACCTTACGAAACTGCGACGGTGACTTTAACGGGAACGTCAAAAAAGCAATAGGTTTATTGAGCAAAACAACAATTCTGCACGTGCATCACGCTTTTTTGTACATTTCTTTGCCGTCCCTTCACAGCTAGGACATGCATTGACCAAATTTCAAGTTTACTTGGGAACGGAAACGGCAATGCGATAAATTCTAACACGTCTGTCAGAACTTGTGCGCGGCCCCTTCTCTTCAGCTCCAACCCAAATCCTTTTTTTTAAGTAACTGGGCCCGCTGGAATAATCGCGAAAAAAAAGTGAAAGGATACGAAGTCTATTCTTCAGCGACGTTTTTATGGACGTCGCCGTTGTCGGATCGTAAGGTCCCTAGTATCAGTATGTAACGGCTGAGAATACAGTAGGGCCTCTGTATGGATACCTGCGGACGTCGATTGCGTCGCGCGTTTTCCATCAAATCGTCGGTTTTTCAGACAAAATCGTCGCATAACAAGAATTTTTTTGCGTGGTAACTCTATTAGCGAGCTCAGCGCAACCACAATAACGAAGACGGAGACGAACAATATAGGTAAATTAAAAACTCTAAAGTGCAGCAATTATTTAGGCAGTTTTGTTTGTCATTATTGCTCGACCAACGTTGATTGAAAAAGTTGATTGAAATGGCAATGATCCTCGCTTTAATTTCTAAGATCTTCCCTTTATCAATGGCGATCGTCGCGACTTCGATTTGTCGGAAATACTCCTACAGAGGCTCACAATAGCTTGCGTGGCGGGCGTCGACAGTGCACGGACCCACACCTTGAGATAAGGGGGGCCCCGGTCATCCAGACCCTTAGATAAGGGGGGCCCTGGTCATCCAGACCCTTAGATAAGGGGGGCCCCGGTCATCCAGACCCTCAGATAAGGGGGGCCCCGGTCATCCAGACCCTCAGATAAGGGGGGCCCCGGTCATCCAGACCCTCAGATAAGGGGGGCCCCGGTCATCCAGACCCTTAGATAAGGGGGGCCCCGGTCATCCAGACCCTTAGATAAGGGGGGCCCCGGTCATCCAGACCTTTAGATAAGGGGGGCCCCGGTCATCCAGACCCTTAGATAAAGGGGGGCCCCGGTCATCCAGACTGACCCTCAGATAAGGGGGGCCCCGGTCATCCAGACCCTCAGATAAGGGGGCCCCGGTCATCCAGACCCTTAGATAAGGGGGGCCCCGGTCATCCAGACCCTTAGATAAAGGGGGGCCCCGGTCATCCAGACCCTTAGATAAGGGGGGCCCCGGTCATCCAGACCCTTAGATAAGGGGGGCCCCGGTCATCCAGACCCTTAGATAAAGGGTACAGTAGTACCTCTCCTAAATGATCACGTGTTCCAAATATCTAAATTTTCTAAGTCAAAGCCTAACAGTTGTAACCACTAGTAAACAAGTACCACTCAACAGCGATCGCGACCAAGTTGTCGCAGTTGTACCACGCTACACAGAGTATAAAAGGAACTTTATGGGAGAAAATCCCCGCAAGGGTCCTCCGCCATAAACTAACGCTGAACAGATATAATTTTTGCTTGATTTTCGTTGCAGCTTATATTCATGTTAATACTATTGATCCTGGGTGGATGTACACACATTGGGCACGGGGTATGTTTGAACTATTTTTTGATACTGATGTATAAAACATGGTACAGAGTTTTTTAAGACCAAAATGGGTTGGTATTTATTTGTAAGAAAGTGTTAAGTCGACAATGTTCAACAAACCTGTGTCTGAACACATTTTGAAGTTGCGTACGTGATTCTAGCATCAAAATATTGAAGAGAGATTTAGAATCACGCTTCACGCAGCAAGCTGTAAACATCAAATTCAAGTTGGTGATTTCCGCTTAAAATAGGAAATGAACAGACGATAAAACTGTGCGCAGATATTCATGTGGATGAAACTGGCGTGAAATTGTATTTTTTTTTACCATTATTATTTACAACATGAACAGCAAACCAAAGGTAAAGGAAGACTTGGTCAAGTGGTACATATTGGCGTTTACTCTCTGCCGTAAAACGTGGTTCTAAAACTCTCTTTTGCTTTTTTTTTTTCCATTCCAAAGATAATTCACAAGAAAAATCCCACATAAACGCTAGAGCTTGAGTCATAGAAAGTTTACAATACGTGAAAAAGTACAGTTAAGATCATTGCATTTGGATGAGTTTGCCGGTGGTCACAAAAAGAAGAAAAAAGAAGAATGAAAAGTAGAGTGGCACATCTAGGTCAACTAATATTGTGCCCCTAAAATAACGTAATCCCCCCGGTAGAAGCCTATTTAAGGTTCTAATAAGTTTAGTTTAAAATGTTCGTAAAATTGCTTACGAGAGCGACAAAAAAAACGTCGCCATCTTGACCGCTGGCCGCTGGCCGCTGACCACATTTCCTTGTTTCTTATCAGCAGCGTTAAAATGAATTTGAGCGACGTCACGTCCACACAGAGAGAGAGAAAGCTCGGGTGTTTTAGCCTGCGGATTTTTTCGGAATTTTTCGACGAGTGCTAGCTCGTATCATATTTATCAAGAGAGAATGAGTGATAGAGGTGTAGGCCTCTTTTGTCGCAGATAAACAGGGAGACGTTTGAGTTTGTACAACAGTGTTTCTGTTAACCTAAAAGAAAAGCAACAAACATTAATTGAAACTTGCGCATGCAGAATGTGAAGCGCGTGGGAGTACTGCTACTCTCGCGTTTTGTTCGTGCGTTAATGGATTAATGCAGTCGAACCGCGCTTGACAGAAAACCCGCTCATAATACAGACTCCTCGTTATAACGGACACTTTCTACGGCCCCCTCAGTGTCCGTATTAACGGGGTGTATTATGAAAAACTGAAGTAGATATGGAACGCTTGGAGTCTAACTAGTTTAGCTAGGGCAACCTAACCCGTTTTATTCACAAGGTTTGATTAATTTTTTTAAACATTTATTCACAGACCAGGACACTCTAAAAATTGCATGGCGTTATTACAGCCCCAGCTGCTTAGCTTCATTGCCGAATCGATTCTATATACAGATTGCAAGGAAAGGGACGTATGGGGTTTATTGCAACCTCCGAATGAAGACACCTTTCATCAAAGAAGTTGCAGTGTGGTCACACCATGGCCACCATCAAGGCAAAACCAAATATCTATTCAATTACACGTTGCCATATAACAGTACAAACAGTACAAAACCCTTTCATGACGTTAGGTTCTTTAAACTTGTTTCACTTCGTAAGAGAAGTAAATTATACGCTCACCTTAAACTTGATATCCCAGACTCTTGGAAGGAAGATATACGTGCACTCAAGTTTAAAAACTTCCTCTTAAACCTGTTTGATAACGAAGTTAACAACAACAACTTTGGAGTGTTTTCAATCCAATAAATTTAATATCGGCTTGCAATGCATTAATCTCCTAGCTACAAACCCAAGAATTGTTTAAGGTTTTCTTTCATTGATTATGCGAACTCGTGTGGCTAGGGACCAAAAAATACGTCGAAACCAGTCTCAAGTTTTGACCGCGATTCTCTTTGTTCATGCTGCCTTCTCGTGGTAGAAAGGACGATAATTAGACTACGAGTAGACCCCTATTTTTCCTCAGGGATAGTAGAGAGAGCGAAACGCGAGTGCGCGTGAAATTACCCCACGCGAGAAAAGGCACGTGTCGCCGCGTGTCGCCTTTTCTCGCCTGGGGTGATTTTCACGCGCGCTCGCGTTTCGCTTACTCTACTATCCTTGAGGAAAAATGGGGGACTACTCGTAGTCTAGAGGATAATAGACCTCATACTGATTTTGATTGGCTTGACGAGTTTTTTGCTTCTAATTAACACGTCCTGTTTAATCTTAACTGGATGAAAAAAGCACCAATGTGAATTACGGGTATTGATTAAAGAGTTAAACTCAAATATTTTCTCTGAAGAGAATCAGAACTCAGTTAGAACTAACGCTAGTGCAAAGTATAGTTAACAGAACTATACGTATAGGTCCAAGTACTGTTTAGATCTTATCTCAGCATAAAACATCTGAAAAGTGCTACCTAACTCTACACCTCTAATTTAAATGCCCGACGGACAGTTTAAACTATAAAGTGTGGACTTTGTACTTTAATCGCACCACAAGAAATTGCCAACAGTGCAGTAACTTCCACTTGAATTATCAGTTACATTTTAAGATTTCATCCGCAGGCTAGAAAGCTAGAACAAGTCTCTCCAACACACTATGATCGCGACAACGCCCAAAAGTCGCTTTTTTAAATAAAATGTTTATACTTTAGAGGCACAACTTCAAATAACCCATTAGTCGGATTAAGAATCAAACAGTTGTCTGCCATCATTGTGCAATGTCTGATGAAAACTGAAGTGAACGATACTCGCTGTGTTTGGCAAACAGTTCTAGATTACTATACAATAAGATCGTAAGGTGGATCTGTTTAGATAATGTCAGTAACCAAAGTTTGAAACAGAAACATTTAAAAGATGATAAGGAAGGTAATTAAGAAACGATACAGTCGAACCCCGCTTAACGGACACCAGCTTAATCGACGGACAACTTGTTGTTACGGACAGTTTGCTTCGTCCCTGGGGAAAGTCCAAACATTTTCTCTAAATGAAACCTGCTTAATACAGACATCCGTTAATGCGGACAGCGCTGACACTTTTTTCGTTCCCAATAAACAGATTCTCTTAGAAAGTCAACCTCACTATTACCAACAAAATTAACCTTTCCTTTGAAGGTAAAACTGAAAACTTTTCAGTTGACAGCTTGTCGATGTTCCCAGCGCTACCTACACTGGATACAATGATTTGTAGACGTCAATTTCAGACTATTTCCACGCATTAAACTAGTTATACAGAGAACGATTAAGATTGATTAAGTAGTATATAAATGAGCAACTTTTTAGCATTGCCGTGGATTTAGTCAGCGGAATGACGACTTTGTGAACNGACAGCGCTGACACTTTTTTCGTTCCCAATAAACAGATTCTCTTAGAAAGTCAACCTCACTATTACCAACAAAATTAACCTTTCCTTTGAAGGTAAAACTGAAAACTTTTCAGTTGACAGCTTGTCGATGTTCCCAGCGCTACCTACACTGGATACAATGATTTGTAGACGTCAATTTCAGACTATTTCCACGCATTAAACTAGTTATACAGAGAACGATTAAGATTGATTAAGTAGTATATAAATGAGCAACTTTTTAGCATTGCCGTGGATTTAGTCAGCGGAATGACGACTTTGTGAACGTTGGAGATGCTTAATTTGAGGATGCAATGTCCTCTTCTATTTCTATAATTATTATTTTTTTAATCTAATAAAAGGTGTTTTTTGGCTATAAGAACATAACCCTCTTAATATGGACACCTCGTTAATACAGACTATGGCCCCCTTATTTGTGCTTAATTCGTCATGTAAAGGAGCTTGTACATACGGCAAACACTGAATTGTAAAATTATACCAACTATATTTCTATAACGAAGCGAAGCTGCGTAGCGCCGTTCTCGAAAGTGGAGCGTTACATATCGCGGATAGTTTGAATACAGCTAAAGGCTCCATCTTATTATCCATAACAAAAGGAATAAGAGTTTCTTTGCCCACGATATAATAGTCATGAAATATATATTAAGTTTAACTGGCCTTAAAAGGACATAACCTAGAATAAATCAAGAAAGATGCTAAAAGATTACAGTAGATAGATTTTCTATTTTGTATGATGCAGTTCATGCTTTTTGTAAGTATTTATAGTCATGACTAAGATCTAGTCTCGACGTATCATTCTTGTTTAGAAGAATGAGCTGTATATTTTCAGCTAAATAAAAGTCAGATTTTTCTACACGTCTTCGTTTAAAATTCAGTTTAATAACAGTCTGATGGGGAGAGGAAATACTTGTAGGTTTATAGTGTTACGTGCGTGCACCATAGAGGCTCTTTCCTCTGCTGATCGGGCTCTTTGCGTCGTAGGGAGGCTGGAATGAAAAAAAAAAAGAAAGGGCCCGGGTCACGATGGGAAGGGAAAAGAGAGAAGAGAGGCCCTTTTCCCTCTTCCCATCGTCCCCTCCCCCCCCCGCCCGCATTCAATTTTTCGTTTATATTTGCTATTTTTATTGGGACACCCAGTGGGAGTCTCTGAGGAGACCAGATTTCCTGAATACGTGATGACAAAGGAAACAGAAACTCTGAGAATGAATCCGTTGGAAAAATTGCGGAAACATCCCTGAGAAGGCAAGATCACGCAAATCCTGTGAACATTCTGGCAACCCGAGCGGGAAAAATGGGATTTCCCGCGTTAGTTCCGCAAAAAAGTTGTCTTTATCGTCATATGATAAATCCTTTATTGACCAAGTTTGTTCGGTCAAGATGGCTGAGTAATGTCCAAGTTATTTTTGCATTTTTGTTGACCACGACTTCGTCTCGATCCATAAAAACGCAACAAACGAACTTGGCCAATATTCCGCCATCTTGACCAAACAAGCTTGGTCAATTTTAACGCATGCGCATTAGAGAGAATAATGGGGCATGTGAATTCCAAAAACGTAAGTCTAATTCCTGAGACGTCCGCACATTTTAATCGATTTTCGAACGTCATCAATAGAGAGAGGTCAAACTTCACGTTTACGTCAAACGGCAGACGCGAGTTTGTACCACGTGATCAAGTTTCTCATTTACTTGTCATTAACTGTTCATTATTTCTACACATTTCATGCAATTTTTTATCCACAAGAATTCTTTTAAGCAGTTTTTATCTTCTCATTTTCTATTTTGAGAAATTCTCAAATTGAATCTGTCGTTTGCCGTTTGCTGTATACGTGGAGCTTAAACTCTCTTAATGTCCACGCGGTACTGCTAATGCAGAATATTGTAATGGCGACTGTTGAATTCTCTCTGGACAACATAGAACAAAAAAGTTGCAGACCACTCCGGAAAGATAAAAATTTCCGATCAATTTCAAGCGTTTACTTGGTCTAAAAATAACTTTCAATTGGTGAAATTCGTATATCCCAAGGTCTAGACTGGGCGTCCCATGCATTATTCTCTCTTGCGCATATACAGTATTGTTATTCAGCGCACTAACCAGAACACTAGATCTTTCTGGATTATGGCCTTTTTTGTTGATCTCACCTGATTACACGCTTTGCCACGAATGTCCGGCGCTGTACATACGAGCGCTTTTTTTTCTATCATCCCTAGTTCTACACTTCTAGAGGTGGAAGCGAGGAATAGTCTGACAAAGTAAGATTTTTGTTACAATTTTCCCACAACCCTTTTTTTAATTGCCCTTCCTTACCTAGTTCCACACTTCTCAGTGTTGTGAAAGGGTGAAATAGTTTAAAACATTAAAGTAAGGTTGATATCGCACTTCAGTTTCCCTTGTCACGAACTTTTTGTCATTCTTTACTTTGTTACACACTTCTGGTGTGTATAAGTGTCACTGGACATGGCTCCGCTTGGTGAAACAAGGCTACAGTTAAAGGTACTAAAAAATGGGCAAAAAAAACATGCCACTTGTCTTGCAACATTGCTGAAAAACGAGTTGAACAGTGATGTTGCGCGTTTTACCACCCACATCAAACCTGTCTTGCAACAAATCAGGTTGTCAACAAGTTTAAACGTGGGTAGTAAACATGACTGGTAACATACCTTTTCAACCCGTTTTGCATCAATTTGCAAAACAAGTTGCACGTTTTTGTTGACCGTTTTACCGAAGCTTAAGCTGACGGATGTCACAACTTTAGTTTAGAAGGCGTGGTTGACAGAAGGAATTCCTTATCCGACCATTTTCCTTACCTCAGTTCTTCAATGTAAAGCCAGAACTTTAACTTGCTTTAGCTTTACAACTAAGGTACCAAATAGAAAAAAATTCAGATAAAACTACAGTGGGACCTCCGTGTTTAACACAACATTTTCCCAGTCAAAGCCCTATAATCTGAAGAACCTCTCGTAAACCAGCACCTGAAAGTTTTATAGTTTTCCATTCCTCTTGTAAGTGACAACTTCACGCATGGCTGTGGTCCCTTTATTCGCTGTATGTCCTACACCACTCAGAGTATTCGAAGAATTTTCAGTGACAACATGGAACTCAGAAACGTATGAGTAACTTAGAAATCACATGCAACAAATTCTCGCCCACAAAGTAGATAGGTCGGGACCTCTTCTCGGAAGGGACTCCGTGTGGTTCGGTTCTCGTAAGCGACCATCTCCCGTAAGCGACCACTAGATCTTCGCATTTTGGGTGGTCGCTTACGGGAGGTTCGACTACAGTCTCCAATTTGTTACATCGCACAACCATACAGAGCATATCTGAGAAGTGATCCCAATGTTTTGTATTAATAAAGGAGGTTGTTTCATAAGCTTAATTCTTATCCAGGGTTCATACAAACAATTGCA